GGGAATCAAAGCCAGCTGGGAATGGGAGGGGAACAAACCCTTGGAAATTAGGGACAGCATTCCAAGCTTTCTCCCGATCCCGGTGAGAGGAAGGCAATTGAAGTGGGATGGTTGGGATGGCCATGGAGGAGTTTTCCTGCTTTTCTGGAAGTGGCCCAAGGGAGGGGACATCCAGGAGCTCCTGGAAGGGGGTCAAAGCCAGCTGGGAATGGGAAGGGAACAAACCCTTGGAAATTAGGGACAGCATTCCAAGCCTTCTCCTGATCCCAGTGAGGGCAAGGCAATAGAGGTGGGATGATTGGGATGGCCATGGAGGGGTTTTCCAAGATCCATTTGGTGATCCAGGATCCCATTGGGTGATCCAGAACCCCACTGGGTGATCCAGGATCCCATTTGGCGATCCAGGATCCCACTGGGTGATCCAGGATCCCATTTGGTGATCCAAGATCCATGGGGTGATCCAGGATCCCATTTGGTGATCCAAGATGCATGGGGTGATCCAGGGTCACAGTTGGTGATCCAGGTTTCCCTGCTTTTCCCTCCCTCCTGGTTGGATCTGGAGGACTCCAGGGGCTGCCTTACCTGCCGAGGCTCCACAGCGCCGCTCGCATTCCCGCCGGGATGGGAAGCGATTCCCGTTCCCTCGGCATCCCCCGAAAAGGAAGGGCCTGCAGGCCTTGGCCTCGGGGTGGAAGTACCAGAGCAGGGAATAATCCTGGCAGGATCCCTCATCCATGGGCTGCAGGCAGGAGGCTGCGGGAGGACATCCCCAAATCCCAACTCACATGTTGGATCCAGGTGGGAAAAGGCCCCGCGCTCTGCCAGTCCTGTTTTCCCAGGAAAATGTGTGGAACTGGGAAAAGGCCTCACTCTCTGCCAGCCCTGTTTTCCCAGGAAAACGTGTGGAATTGGGAAAAGGCCACACGCTCTGACAGCCCTGTTTTCCCGGGAAAATGTGTGGAATTGGGAAAAGGCCACGCTCTGCCAGCCCTGTTTTCCTGGGAAAATTTGTGGAATTGGGAAAAGGCCACACGCTCTGACAGCCCTGTTTTCCCGGGAAAATGTGTGGAATTGGGAAAAGGCCACGCTCTGCCAGCCCTGTTTTCCCAGGAAAATGTGCGGAGTTGGGAAAAGGCCAAGCTCTGCCAGCCCCGTTTTCCTGGGAAAATGTGTGGAATTGGGAAAAGGCCACGCTCTGCCAGCCCTGTTTTCCCAGGAAAATGTTTGGAGTTGGGAAAAGGCCACACTCTGCCAGCCTCATTTTCCCAGGAAAATGTGTGGAGTTGGGAAAAGGCCACGCTCTGCCAGCCCTGTTTTCCCAGGAAAAACGTGTGGGGTTGTTTTAGGAACCCACCATTTAGGGATCCACAGCCCCACCTGATCCCAAAGCAACGGGGTTGGCAGAGGAAAAAGGGGAAGCAAGGACCATGGAGGGCATCCAGCAGCACATTCCCGGTGGGAATAACCCCCCCCTGTGGTGCCTGTGACCTTTGCAAGGAGGGGATGAATCCTGGAATCCTGGGAGGAGGAGGGATGCTTGGATTTGGGGAAGTGCCCGGAGGACTCTCCCTGCGGATTTTCCTGGTGGGATCCAGATGGGATGAAAACACCCTCCTGGCCACCAAACCTTTGGATCCCTCTGGATTTCCACTCCACACCTCCAAAAGCCTCGAGGACCCGGGAGTGGAATTTTGAACCAATCCCTGAATTTTGAATCCGTTTTTTTTCCCCTGTTGTACATTTTGGGATGGATCCTCTTCTCCTGCCCAGGGAAAATGGCCAAGTGGGGGAGAAGGTGGGATATTGTGGGATGAGGGGAATCCTTCCTGCTTTAAGCCGAGTCCTAAACCCAGCTTTAAGCTCGGCTGGCTCAGCCCCACGTCCCTCCATCCCAAAAAAAACCCTTCCCAGGTGGGAATTGGATTCCCTAAATGTCACTTTGCCTCACCTGGGAATTCTCTGCGGATTCCTTGGCTCTGCTCCCACTCCCGGGGATTTGTTGCCTCCTCTGGAGTCGCCTCTGCGGGAGCAAATGGAAATGACTCTTAATGAGGGCTCACAAACTAATTAACTCCCGGGATAACGAGTCCCTCTTAACGAGGAGCGGAACAATAAAACCCCTTTAATGGGGTTAAACAGCTCCGGGGAAAAATGGGAGCGACTGTTTGCGGGGAGAGAAATGTCAGGGCTGGAGCTTTGGAAAGCTCCAGAGCCTTTGGAAAGCTCCGGAGCCTTTGGAAAACCCGAGAGCCTTTGGAAAACCCGGGAGCCTTTGGAAAACCCGGGAGCGATTGTAATCTGGCGGCGATAAGGGAGCCACGGGGATTTATGGGGCGGGATTTAATGGGGTGGGAACGGCCCCCAGAACCCAAATCCTGCCCTGGCAGGAAGGGAATTCAAACCTTGGATGTCCAACAATTCCCAGGAGAGGCCGTTCCTTGCCCTGGGAATTGTCACGGGGAGCAGAAGGTGGGATATTGTGGATGAGGGGAATCCTTCCACCCCAAACCAGGGAAAGCTGAGCTCAGTGTTCCCAAACTGGGCAGGAGACTTTTAAGAACCCCCTGTTTTGCCACTGGAGCTGCTGCAACCCTTCCCAAGGGCTGGAATGTTGTCCCATGGAGGATGGGACCCTCTGGGCCGTGTCCAAATCTTTGCATCCCTCTGGATTTCCACTCCTCAGCTCCAAAACCCTTCAGGGTTTGAGGCTGGAATTTGATCCAGAATCCCATTGGGTGATCCAGAATTCCATTGGGTGGAATCCCATTGGGTGATCCAGGGGCACATTTGGTGATCCAAGATCCCATTGGGTGATCCAGGATCCCATTTGGTAACCCAGGATCCCATTGGGTGACCCAGGGGCACAGTTGGTGATCCAAGATCCCATTGGGTGATCCAGGATCCCATTTGGTAACCCAGGATCCCATTGGGTGACCCAGGGGCACAGTTGGTGATCCAGGATCCCACTAGGTGATCCAAGATCCATTTGGTGATCCAGGATCCCATTTAGTGATCCAGAATCCCATTGGGTGATCCAGGATCCCACTGAGTGATCCAGAATCCCATTGGATGATCCTGGATCCCATTGGGTGATCCAGGGGCACAGTTGGTGATCCAGGATCCCATTGGGTGACCCAAGCTCACAATTGGTGATCCAAGATCCCATTGGGTGATCCAGGAACCCATTTGGTGATCCAGGATCCCATTGGGTGATCCAGGACCACAGTTGGTGATCCAGGATCCCACTGGGTGATCCAGGATCCCACTAGGTGATCCAAGATCCATTTGGTGATCCAGGATCCCATTTAGCGATCCAGAATCCCATTGGACGATCCTGGATCCCACTGAGTGATCCAGGGGCACAGTTGGTGATCCAAGATCCCATTTGGTGACCCAGCATCCCATTGGGTGATCCAAGATCCCATTGGGTGATCCAGGGGCACAGTTGGTGATCCAGGATCCCATTTGGTGACCGAGAATCCCATTGGGTGATCCAGGATCCCATTGGGTGACCCAAGTTCCATTTGGTGATCCAGGATCCCACTGGGTGATCCAGGATCCCACTGGATGATCAAGGATCCCATTCAGTGATCCAGGATCCCACTGGGTGATCAAGGATCCCATTCAGTGATCCAGGATCCCACTGGGTGATCCAGGATCCCACTGGGTGATCAAGGATCCATTTGGTGATCCAGAATCCCACTGGGTGATCCAAGATCCCACTGAGCGATCCAGGATCCCATTGGATGATCCTGGATCCCATTTGGGTGATCCAAGATCCCATTGAGTGATCCAAGATCCCATTGAGTGATCCAAGATCCCATTGGGTGACCCAGGGTCCCATTGGGTGACCCAGGGTCCCATTGGGTGAATCCCTGGGCATTCCCTGGATTTCAGCAGCCTTACCCTTTTCCAGGAGCACCATTCCCGACTCCCCTCCACAATCTGCAAAGACACCAAAGGCAGGGCCGAGTTTGCTCCATTTTTTCCGGGATTTTCCAACAAAATCCTGATTTTTCCAGGCAGCAAATGCTTTCAGGGCCTGTTTTCCAGCCTTTATTCCCCCCCTTCCAAGCATCCAAATGCTTCCTGACTTCTCCAGGAGTGGGATTCCAGACATTGTGGCCCAGAATTCCACACTGATTTCTGAGCAGAGGGAAAAGAGGGATTAAAAAGGAATTAAAGGGGGTTAGGAGGGAAAATGCAGCTCCAAACTTTCCCTAATCAGGGATAAAGGGAATGAGGGATGAATGGAATGAGGGAGGAATGGAATGAGGGAGGAATGGAATGAGCAGGGAGGAAGGATTTGCCATAAAAAACAGGGAAAGAAATGGGAAGAGAGGGGATTTAAGGGGAAAAAAATCAGAGTTTCAGTGGGATGAAAAAACATTTTGGCTCAGAATTCCACCCCCATTTCTGAGCAGAGGGAAAAGAGGGATTAAAACAGGAATTAAAGGGGGTTAAGAGGGAAAATGCAGCTCCAAAATTTCAGTAATCAGGGATAAAGAGAATGAGGGATGAATGGAATGAGGGATTAATGGGATGAGGGATGAATGGGATGAGGGATTAATGGGATGAGGGATGAATGGAATGAGGGAGGAATGGAATGATCAAGGAGAAAGGATTTGCCACAAAAAAACAGGGAAAGAAATGGGAAGAGAGGGGATTTAAGGGGAAAAATCAGAGTTTCAGTGGGATGAAAAGATGTTGTGGCTCAGAATTCCACCCTGATTTCTGAGCAGGGAGAAAACAGGGATCAAAGCAGGGAAAGAAAAGAGAAGAAAGGGGATTTAAGGGGGAAAAAAACCCGAGTTTCAGCGGGATGAAAAGACATTTTGGTCTCATTTCTGAGCGGGGAGAGGTGACAAAGCTCCCCCGGGCTGTTAATGGGGTGACATTTCCACGGCTGAGCCTTGTGCCAGCTCCCAAATTGCTCCAATTTAGCCGCTGGCAGCTGCCAACTCACCCCCGGAGCACCTCAGCTCGCTCCTCACCAGCTCCTTCACCTCTTCCTCCTGTGCCAAGGAGGGGAAAAAAAGGGATTGAAACCGGGATTTTTCCACCCTGGCAGCAAATCCCTCTGCTCATTCCCCCAGTGGATTTTACTCTGGAAAATTTAAATTATCAATTAAATGGTACAGATTTGCAACGGGATAAAGACCTAAATTTTGAGGGATCTGCAACGGGGATTTTCCACTGATCCCTTAAAATTTGGGTCTTGACTCTGTCGCAAATTGGGTTTTGTGCCACTTGATTTATCCTTTAATTTTTCCAGAGGGTTTAGGATTAATTTGAGCAGCTCCTGCTTGGCCCCAGGGCTGATCCAACACCAGGGCAAAGCAGGAGACAGGAATGGGCCCCATTTTCCAAGGCATCTGGGAGCAATCCTGAAGGAAAAGGAGTGGTTGGCCCACGTGGATCAGGGGAAAATCCCTGTTGCAGATCCCTTAAAATTTAGGTCTCCATCCTGTCACAAATTGGATTTTGTGTCACTTAATTGATGCTTTAATTTTTCCAGATCAGGGGAAAATCCCTGTTGCAGATCCCTTAAAATTTGGGTCTCCATCCTGTCACAAATTGGGTTTTTTGCCATTTAATTTATCCTTTAATTTTTCCAGAGCGTTTAGGATTAATTTGAGCAGCTCCTGCTTGATCCAATACCAGGGAAGAGCAGGAGACAGGAATGTGCCAGCAGGAAAAAACTGCTTTTCCAGGCTTATAAATCCTGAAGGAAAAAATCCACGTGGATCAGGGGAAAATCCCTGATGGATCTCCTTTAAAATTTAGGTCTCCATCCTGTGGCCTAAATGGATTTTGTGGCATTTGATTTATTCTTTATACTTAGGTGGATCAACCACTCCTTTTCCTTCAGGATTTATAAGCCTGGAAAAGCAGCTTTTCCCTGCTGGCACATTCCTGTCTCCTGCTCTTCCCTGGTATTGGATCAAGCAGGAGCTGCTCAAATTAATCCTAAACACTCTGGAAAAATTAAAGGATAAATTAAATGGCAAAAAACCCAATTTGTGACAGGATGGAGACCCAAATTTTAAGGGATCTGCAACAGGGATTTTCCCCTAATCTGGAAAAATTAAAGCATCAATTAAATGGCACAAAACTCAATTTGTAACAGGATCAAGATCCAAATTTTAAGGGATCTGCAACAGGGATTTTCCCCTGATCCACGTGGATCAATCACTCCTTTTCCTTCAGGATTGCTCCCAGAGGGCTTGGAAAATGGGGCCCATTCCTGTCTCCTGCTTTTCCCTGGTGTTGGATCAAGCAGGAGTTGCTCAAATTAATCCTAAACCCTCTGGAAAAATTAAAGTATAGATCAAGTGGCACAAAATCCAATTTGTGACAGGATAAAGACCCAAATTTTGAGGGATCTGCAACAGGGATTTTTTCCTGATCCATGTGGGTCAACCACTCTTTTTCCTTCAGGATTTATAAGCCTGGAAAAGCAGCTTTTCCCTGCTGGCACATTCCTGTCTCCTGCTCTTCCCTGGTGTTGGATCAAGCAGGAGCTGCTCAAATTAATCCTAAACACTCTGGAAAAATTAAAGGATAAATTAAATGGTACAAAACCCAGTTTGCGACAGGATGGAGACTTAAATTTTGAGGGATCTGCAACAGGGATTTTCCCCTGATCTGGAAAAATTAAAGTATAAATTAAGTGACACAAAATCCAATTTGTGACAGGATGGAGACCTAAATTTTCAGGGATCTGCAACAGGGATTTTCTATTCTAGTTTGTTCTATTTTCCCCTCTTCCCAACACGATGAAATCACTCACAGTCAGCCCAGGGTCTCCCTTTTCTCCTTTGGGTCCCGCCGGGCCATTTTCACCCTGTTAAAAAACCACTTAAAGTCATTACAAAAGGCAGATCGAGCCTTAAATGCTCTCGAGAATAAAATTCACCTCATTTCCAGAAGATGAGCGGAAAAACACTCTTATTTTCCCATGAATTTTAGGGATATCTGTGCAAGAAAATAAGAATAAAAGCGTGGATCAGAGCTCCTGGATTTCTTTTGGTGGGGGGGGAAGATTTTTTTTGCTCTGCTCGACTCCAAAAAAAATAAAGATTTTTAACGGCCGGGTTTTATTTATTTATTTTCGGGTTTTTAAGGGGTTAAAAGCGCTCGGGTGGGGGCGGGGAGAGGGTGTGGAAAACCGGGAGCAAACCCCCGGGGGGGGGGAAGTTTGTCAGCAGGGGATTAAATTCCTTGAAAAATGTCCCCGAAAACCGGATTTGTGGGTTAAAAAAACCCGCTTAAAAATATTAAAGGACACGGAGAACAAGAAGAATGACCCGAATTAGGGGCAGGGAGGGTCATTTTTCTCAATCCAAGGGCTGGAACATGAGGGGGAAAATCGCATTAAGTTCCAGCAGCACATGGAGGCAAAGCAGAGCCGCTTCCTGATCCTAAAAATCCCGGGAAATGGTTGGCAGGAGCTGGGATTTGGGATTTTGGGGTGAGGCTCTTGTTTGTGTCCCCTGATGGGCATGAAAAGGTGGAATATTGGGGGTTTTTTCCTGGTTTTCCGTGGGAAAGGCAGCGAGGATGTGCTGCCCCAAAATATGGGGTTTTCCCAAAGAAATCGGATTTAAAAACAACTGGAAGGCCTCAGGAATCCCGGGATTGTCCCAACTGGAGAAGTGGAGCATTCCCATATCCAATGCCTGGTTTTAGGGAGGAAAATGTTCCTGTTTCTGTAGTTGCAGGATTTGGAAAGCTGGGAATTGGAGCCTGGAACACCCAGGATAAAACCAGGGGATTGTTCCTGGTCTTCCATGGCAAAGATATTGAGGATGTGCTGCCCAAAATATGATGTTTTCCCAAAGAAATTGGATTTAAAAAAACTGGAAGCCCCCAGGAATCCCAGGATTGTCCCAGCTGGAGAAGTGAATTCCCATATCCAATGTCTGGTATTTGGGATCATCCCATCCTGGCCCTGGTTCCTTTGGGATCATCCCAAACTGACCCTACCTCCTTTTGGGATCATCCCACACTCACTCTGGCTCCTTTGGGATCATCCCATCCCAACCCTGGCTCCTTTGGGATCATCCCATCCCAACCCTGGCTCCTTTGGGATCATCCCATCCCTACCCTGGCTCCTTTGGGATCATCCCATCCCAACCCTGGCTCCTTTGGGATCCTTTGGGCTCCCAACCCTGGCTCCCTTGGGATCATCCCATCCCAACCCTGGCTCCTTTGGGATCATCCCATCCCAACCCTGGCTCCTTTGGGATCATCCCACACTCACCCTGGCTCCTTTGGGATCATCCCACACTGGCCCTGGTTCCTTTGGGATCATCCCAGACTCACCCTGGCTCCTTTGGGATCATCCCACACTGACCCTGGCTCCTTTGGGATCATCCCATCCTGACCTGGCTCCTTTGGGATCATCCCAGACTCACCCTGGCTCCTTTGGGATCATCCCACACTGACCCTGGTTCCTTTGGGATCATCCCACACTCACCCTGTCTCCTTTGGGATCATCCCACACTGACCCTGGCTCCTTTGGGATCATCCCAGACTCACCCTGGCTCCTTTGGGATCATCCCAAACTCACCCTGGCTCCTTTGGGATCATCCCACACTCACCCTGGCTCCTTTGGGATCATCCCACACTCACCCTGGCTCCTTTGGGATCATCCCAAACTCACCCTGGCTCCTTTGGGATCATCCCAAACTGACCCTACCTCCTTTGGGATCATCCCACACTCACTCTGGCTCCTTTGGGATCATCCCATCCCGACCCTGGCTCCTTTGGGATCATCCCATACAGATGGATCATCGCATCCCAACCCTGGCTCCTTTGGGATCATCCCAAACTCACCCTGGCTCCTTTGGGTCCGTCCATTCCCGGGGGTCCCCTGAGGCCGATCCGGCTTTTCCCTCTTTTCCCTGGAGGCCCCTGGAGAGGGAAAGGAGAGCTCAGTCAGCACCTTCCAGACATTTCTCCCACAGCTCCAAGTGGGATTTTCCCCTTCAATCCCATGGAATGTTCAGCCTGGAAAGGAAACCCAGTTTTTTGGGGGCCTTCCAGGACCCGAAGGGAGCAAAAAAAAAAAAAGATGGAAAGGGAATATTTGGAAGAGCTTGGGAATGACAGGACAAAGAGGGAAGAGGCTTCAAACTTCCAGAGGGCAGGGATAGGTGGGATATTGGGAAGGAATTCCTGGTCGGGAGGGTGGGGAGGGGCTGGGATGGAATTCCCAGAGAAGCTGTGGCTGCCCCTGGATCCCGGGAAGTGTCCAAGGCCGGGTTGGATTCCCTCGGAATCCGTGCCCTGGGATGGCCGAAGGCGTCAGGGCCGGAAGATTCCCTGAGAAGATTCCCTGAGAAGATCCTCAGAGCCCTCGGGATCCCAAGGGATTCACGGACAGTTGGGATGGGATGGGAGGTGTTCCCTGGGCAGGAAGGATGGATCCGGTGGGAAAAGAAGGCTCTTTTCCCAAATTTCAGCCCCGGAGCCTCAACAGATGGAGACAATCCCTTCCCACTCCCTCGGCTGGATTTTTAGGTTTATTTCAAAGTTTTTAAATTTTTAATTTTTTATTTTATATTTTATTTTATTCTATTTTATTCTATCCTATTTTATTTTATTGTCTTTTATATTATTCTATTTTATGATCTTTATTTTATTTTTATTTTATTTTATTTTTATATTATTTTATTTTTATTTTATTTTACTTTTATTGTATTTTATTTTATTTTTTATTTGTATTAGTATTGTTAATTTTATTTTATTTTATTTTTTAATTTTTATTTTTATTTTTATTTTTATTTTTTATTTTTATTTTTTATTTTTTTTAAGTGCTTGTTGGGGTTTTTTGTATGTGTTGGGGTTTTTTTTTGTTGGTTGTTTTTTTCCTGTGTCGTTTTAGGGGTTTTTGGGGTGGGTTTTTGGGGTTTTTTGGAGTGTTTTATGGGTTTTTATTGGTTTGTTTTTATTGGTTTTTTTTGGTCTTGTTTTGTATTTTTTTGTTTGTTTTGGTTTTGTTTTTTTGTGGGTTTTTGGTTTTTTTTGTTTCTTTTTTTGTTTGGTTTTTTTGGGGGTTTTTTTGTTTGTTTTGGTTGGGGTTTTTTGGTTTCCTGTTGATTTTTTTTGTGTTTTTTTGGGGGTTTGTTTGGATTTTTTTCTTTATTTTCTTTTTTTTGTTTGTTTTGGGTTTTGTTTGTTTGGTTTGGGTTTTTTGTGGTTTTTTTTGTCTGTTTTGGTTTGGTTTTTATTTGGTTTTTTTTGTGGGTTTTTTGTTTGTTTTGCTTTTAGTGGTTTTTTTTGTTTTTTTTTGTGGTTTCTTTGGTTTGTTTTGGTTTGGGGTTTTTTTAGTTGTTTGTGGGGTTTTTTTGGTCTGTTTTTTTTTTTCTTTTTTTTTTTTCGATTTTTTTGTTTTTTTTTATTTTTTTGTCTTGTTTTGTATTTTTTTGTTTGTTTTGGTTTGGTTTTTTTTTTGTTTGTTTGTTTTGGTTGGGTTTTTTGGTTTTCTGTTGATTTTTTTTGTGTTTTTTGGGGGGTTTGTTAGGATTTTTTTTTAAGTTTTCTTTTTTTGTTTGTTTTGGGTTTTTTGTGGGTTTTTTGTTTGTTTGGGTTTGTTTTTTATTTGGTTTTTTGTGGGTTTTTTTGTTTGTTTTGGTTTCTTTTTTTTTGTTTGTTTTGTTTTGGTTTTTTGTTTGGGTTTTTTGTTTGTTTTTTTGGTTTTTTGTGTGTTTTTTTTTTGTTTGTGTTGGTTTGAGGTGTTTGGGTTTTTTCTGGTGGGTTGGTTGTTTGGTGTGTTTTGGGTTTTTTTCGTGGTTTTTTATTTTTTTTTTAAATTTTTTTGGGGTTTTTTTGGTTGTCTCATTTTGGGGTTTTGTTGTTTGTTTTGGTTTGTTGGTTTTTTGTGGGGTTTTTTTGGTTTTTTGGGGTTTTATGGTGGGTTTTTTTGTTTGTTTTGGTTTGTTTTTTTGGAGGTTTTTTTTGGGTTTTTTTGTATGTTTTAGTTTGGATTTTTTTGGTTTTTTTGGTGTTTTTTTTGTTTGTTTTTTTTTTGTGTGTGTGTTTTTTATGTTTTTCTTGGGTTTTTTTTGAATTTTAAATTTTGGTTTTTTTTGGTT